CATTTTATCTTTATTACATTTCTGGTTGCACTAGGAAATTTAATATGATTAGGTATATAAAAATTTCCATGCAAAATAAATGCAATTACTTTATTTTGGTATAAGCTTATCTTTGGTTACTCGTCTGCAGTTTTCGATCTTTTGTCATCAAAATCAGTAATCTTAAAATGGGCTACACAATACATGAGTCTGGCCTAAAAAAACAAACGGAGTAATCAAAACAGGCCTTTAGTGTAACGTTATCATTGATATTTATAATTACTATGGTACATTTACAATAACTAAGGTACATGATTCTTTGTGAAAACATACTCTATCCTAGGTAAATTGGCATGTTTTACAAACTCTTTATTCAATAAATTCTTTTCAAGAGTTTCTTCCTCCAATAGCAACTTAATACAAAAAAAACAGAAATAATGCATTATTAGATACTGAAATTTGAGCATAAAACCCTTACTTTGAACCAGCCGACACACACCGTTACAGTAAATGATCTATGCAGCAATTTGTGACTCAAGATTGTACTCTAGGGAGACAGGAAATGAGTCTCTAGTTTCTAAAATATACACGGCATGCCAAATTTGCCGGCATATGCATCTGTTCAGAGAATATGTAAACAGTGGAAGTTGAGAGAATAAAAAAACACAATGGGAGACAGGTCATGTTGCAGTCTTTTCTATTTGAAAATTTTTGGACACTACTTTCATAGTTGTGCATTTAAAACCCCCTTAATCCCCGAGGCTAAACCATTTTTGTGTATAGCCAACGAACAATAACCAAAATGCTATTACAAAATTTAAAAAGTTTTACCATTATATTTCCATGGTCTAATGAATACTATATAGGCTTAGGTGGAAATCACGTAGGGGTGGTACGAGCAAAATTTGTGAAAGCAGTTAATAAACAATTTAGATCTAAGTGAATGATTAAAGACCATCAGCTCTGCTATCAAAATTCAGTTCTCTGATTAGGTGTTGCAACTATGATAATTTTTGCAGATTAATGTGATTGGCTTGATTAGTGAATTAAGTTTAGTCTAATAGCATATAAATTGATAACCGCAAAATGACTCCCTTAGTACATGCTTAGCTATTAAATAGTAATTATTACTTGATATTTTATTAGCGTCCTTGAATTCTGTATAGCCTACTTAAGAATCGAGAATTTTCAGGGAGAAATTATATTTACGGCTCATCAACGCAAAATATATACAAAAAAGCCAAAAGTTAGTATGGTAGTAATTACTGGAAAACTATAACATTGTTTTCAAACAACTTCAAATTAATTTAAATACAGTATTAAAATATTTGTGGGATAATCAACACTTTTAAATAGCACAAGCTTTTTTTAAAAAGTTCTAAAAAGTATCCAGACTGCACCCTTATACTTAACCTACATTGTTTGTATCATATTATTTAAATATCTATACAGTATTTTTGGATATTAAAATTCCAACTTGACGTGTATTTTTGATGTGGTTTTTATGCGACTAATCTGATATTCTGTTTTGATTTTTTAACAGCACTGCATTTAATGTTAACCTACAGTGTGTGTTTCTTTGAAAGAACATTTCTGTAAATATGAAGTAGAAACACACTGATAGTCTCAACTTGTCCATAGGCCAACTAGCCTAACATACTGCACTCCTTAAAGGTGGATGGGTCACACGTAAGTGATAACTCAAATTCCTTTAACAGTAGTAAGGCTATTCCACTTTACTATACTTTCATTATTTATACAGTATAGGCCTAAATAAGCATATCATTTAACAGAAATTGGAAAAGTTCACTTGAGTACTGCAGGTTTTATGTTGCCTACGTTGATATATATTTCCAATTAAAATATTTATTGAAGATTGGTTATTAGAATATGATTAGTTTCCGTAAATTAATGAATTATGATATTTTACTTGTTTTTGCTGTATGTTGATTAATTTTACAAGGCCTATTATTACAGTAATATTAACATTCGGTACTCAAACAGTTTCAATCTATTAATTGTACATATTTAATTATTAAATATATATTTAAAATATTTACTGGAGATTTGTTAGAATATTAGTTTCCATAAATTAATGAATTATGATATTTTACTTATTTTTGCACCCATTACTGTATGTTGATTAATTTTACAAGGCCTATTATTACAGCAATACTAACATTCAGTAGGCCTACTCAAACAGTTTTTTTTTCAATTTATTAATTGTACATATTTAATTATTAAATATATACAGTAGGCCTACTGTTACGCTAAACAAACTAATATCTGTTTTCAAAAATCAATATTTGGATTGTTTACTTTGTATATTAGTTGAATTTTAAATTAAAAATTAGAAGAAAAAAATCCAATAGAAAATAACAAATGCATAAATAACACAACAGGCCCCTGGACTTTTGTAGGAAAGTCGGTTAATACTGTAACTTCAATACTGGATTCTTTTATGAAATATTTAATATTTTCATTTGAATCTTTGAGAGTTATTTCATATCTTATAACAGATGGTATTTGATTTTATGTTTCTCTATGTTTATTAATGATTACCAATAATTTTGGAATAATATTAATATCAGAATTTGACTCTTTACCTATGAAATACAAATATTACAATATATTATTTTTGAAAATGAAAAAAAAACTCATAGTTAGACACATTTTTTTAATTAAAAAAAACACATAGTGGAAAGCTTCAATTACTGTAGCTGTGCAACCAATATTACTATTTCACATCTAATGCTATGATTTGTAATGAGAATTTGGATATTTCAGTCACAAGTATAAAGGAATAGGCTATTAGATATATTTGTATTTTTCAAACTAATTTCTTTAATAACAGAGCTCTATTATCACTCTGTTATTACTTCAGCCTAGGATTGTAAACCTGAATTGTATGTATGTTTGTTTTATTTAGACTACATATAGAAGAAAAGAAATTCCTGATTAGAACAATGTGTTTTTCTCAACACACATTTATATATTTTAGTATACCTTTCCGAGTTTTTGTTTTTCAATTCAGAAACTTTAAATTAGATAGTAATTTATTCAATAAATTTATATTTCTTACTAAATAATTATCTTTAAATGAACATGAAAAATTACGTGCAAAAGCTCGCAGTTTAGCAACCATTTTGGCTATTTATATCTAACATGCTTGTTGTGAATCGAATTGGACATCAGCCCATTGGTTTAGTATTAACACGTAGTTGAGATGAAAACACAAAGTCCAATACAAGCAAACAAACCTATTTTAATATTCCTGTACTTTGTCCCTTAAAACACAGTCAGCATCAACTGTTTATAGACCTGATTGCACTAAATATTACGGAGAATAACTATTATTCTTTCTAGTAATAAACCTGTTATTTGTCCCCAAATCAGCTATCAGGGAGCACTGTCACTAAAAGACACACTCAAACATTCAACGCATTTAATTGCTCATTTTAAAGGGAAAAAAAAAAACCAATTCTGTTTTCACAAATTTACTGTAAAAAAAGTCCTTTAGGCCTACCAATAAGCTTAATGAATCTGTGTAAAACATACAAATGGTATTAGATAATGCATGCATTTGTTAATATATATAGAAAGTATTTTCTTGTTATACCTTTTAATTGAAATCTCTGCATTTTCGTTTGTACTGTTTTAGGTGTCTTCTGTTGTTTTATATATACATATTTATATTTTATATGAATTTGACGAGCAAATGAGCTTCCCTTTGTGGATGAATAGAAGTTATCTTACTTTATGAAGCAACTCATTTATCGACTTTTATTTTTCAAGATATAAAATATAAAAATAAATCATATTATATTACACTCAATGATATTGCATGTCAGTTTAATGGAAGTGTAACATAAGGTACAGTATGCAAGAAGCCAAAGTAATATAAATGATATAGATATATATATTACTACCGTACTTTTATACAGTTATAATTGCTGAATATTATTATATATAGCCTTTTAACAGATCAAATAATCTCAGAGATATACTGTAGTAATAGTCATAGCATATCAAGTTTCCTGCATTTAGCATGATAATCACACTTTTCATCCAGTTTCAAGCCAACAAATCAAATTTTACACTTAAAAGAAATATACTTAATTAAGCCTTTCCATAAAATTAATATCACCCTCTATAATAAAAATCATGATACAAAATAATCATTTAAAAAGATATGAATACATCTTAGATCAGTCAATTTCCATTGTGGAAGAAAATATTCTTTCAAAAGTATTTTTTTATTAATCAACCCTTTGTTTAAAAAAATCCCATTTGGGTAAAATATTGGTTTTAGTGTGTGTAAAGTAATTGTTTTCTTATATAAAATCACAAGCCTGTGTATTGATCGAACTTTATATATTAACCTATCATTTCATATACAGTCAGGCAAAATTCAATACATATATGTCCTCAGGTAGATTACATTACTTATTATAATCAGGTTCATTTGATATACAGTGAAACGAAACAAAAATAATAATTATTACGCATATATGAATGAATTTAATTTCAAACATTTTCTTATTGATTCTGTACAGGGAAGTACCATGAATAAATTTACAAACGAAAGGCATTATTATAAATTGTGATCTGTATTGCTTCCAATAGTGTCTATCACCCTAGTCTGAAAACAGGAGACATGGAATAGGCTTGTTAATTACTGGATTAAAAATTAGCTGTTCGATAAAACGAGAAATATTTTTTTACAGCAGGCCCACAACATCAACACTCACTGTTCCAGTATTGTAACGCCTGCATGATGATCATCTGCAGTGCGTACTTCAATACGGTAATGCACAAAATAAGCTCGGGCTAACAACATAAAGCACTATCCAACACATTTTCGTACACTACAAGATTCATCTAGATTAAATTAACAAATATATAATACAAATAAGAATATCTTACGTGTGAAAATTACATATTAATCTAAATTGGGTTTTCAAATTCTGGTGTTCTAAGCATCTCGTTCAGAGACTGCATAACAATAGTGTGAATCTTACCTAACGGTAGGCTCTGTGGTTCGTCGCAGTAAGTCACTTTCCAGAAACAAAAGAGGACCAGCAAATATATTAAATGTATTCCCTCCATAGTTTTGTAATCTTGAGTGACTTTAGTTTCCAATCACCTGAAACATAAACAGTTTAATGTTGTTTAGTACATCTTTCCTACATGCTTCCTCCCTGCTCAGTCCCATCTATCGTCTGATTATGCTGCTCGTGGTTGGTCGCAATTTACATTCTTATCTCGCGCGCTGTGACGACATGGGAGCAGCAATACACAAACTTCGGCACGAATGGACTCGTGAAAAATACGGTGTTACTCGCATACAAAATTCTTTATTTAAAACGAATGCCCTATTCATTAAATACACCTTTTAAAACTTACCTTGTAAATGGATATCTTATCGATTTCCATAACAGCATGTCCCTTAGTTACTCCTCAAATACTTTAATATGGCTTAAACGTCAGTAGGCAATTCACAATTTAATTCGGATAGATAGCTTGCAATTTATCCGATAATTTCTAGTTCGAGTAATATCCAAAGAATAGACAAAGTGAGGCCTGTAGGCCTAGCTTTTCATATTGCAGCAAGATTTATCGGCACTATTCACTCGCAACCGCTTTCATCAACGGTGGTATATACAAGACTGAATGAAATCTATATATAAGCAGTTACCGCGACCTTTCAAACCAACGCACAGGAAAACAGTGTTAGAGTGCCGCTTAACCAAGCATAACTACATGGTATAGTCTTCAATATGACCTTGAAACTCTGTTTTTAATACAGCATTGGCAAATTATTATTACCTCTACTCGAATAAAGGATGGTCTCGTGTTTCCATTTGCCTTTGAATTAAAAACTCTCAAATAAGAATACAATTTTTACGCTTGATCTACTAAAGGAAATTATGCTGAAAATTCATTTAAAACTTACCGACAATTTTATAATGAGGTTGTTTCTACAGACGCGTTTTATAAGGATTCTCCGTTGCGAAAAATCTTGATAGTTTATTGGTAGATAGGAAGAAGAAAACCCCCTGACCTTAACAAAAGTGAACAATGAGATAAATATTGTCGATATAGTGCAGAGGTTTGACCCACAAACATGATTGTTATTACGTAGTATCTGTACCGTCGGAAAGATGAACCTATGCTATTTTGTGTATTCTCTTCTGTGGCAAAAATATGTTGAGTTCAGAAGACTGCTTGAATCCTTATTGACGGGAAGAGTTACAGCGACAGGGCTATCTTCTGAGCCAACTAAACACCATTCGCCAAACCTTTTAGCGTTCTTTCAGATGCTAATGCGACTTATACAAAAAGCCGGTGGAATACTTCTAAATCTCCTACTACACCGTGATCACACGTTCAACAAAGAGTGCACAATGAGAAAACCCTTGAAAACTGGAATCCCCTGTCCGGTCAATACAAGCTGGACAAATGCCCCTATTAGCCCTTAAACACGTCTTCATTTACAATAAAAGCAGTATTAAACGAATCGATGTTAACGCTTTATCTTCTCTTCATACTGCTAATCGTCCACCTTTCTAACGGTATTATATACACCATACACACATGTGTTTAAAATGTTAAACTCCGAATATTTATATTGTTTTCACATCAACTCACTCGTAGCCTCCTCAACGAGAATCAGTCGGTCCTTGCTGACAGAAACATGTTTTTTGCATCACATGTAACAAACTTCAGCTAACTGGAGCCGATAGGATATTTAAATTATAAGTAGGCTTATAAGCAACTAATAAACAACCTTTTCAATTATCTCGTTATCTTTAAAAAATGATTTGTTAAATTTTAGAAATTATCCTATTGGCTAGGCCTATTTGGCCTATTCGGCCTATTCTTTTATATACCGTACCATTGATCATTTGATTGGCAACAAGAAATAAAAAGTGTTTCCAAACATTGAGGGCGCTATAACACATTGATTCTCAGCAGTGAGTACCGTTGGTGAAGACCTTTGTCAATCGCAGGTTGAAATGATCGCCGAACATCAACAGTTTAAACATTAGTTCAAACTAATTCCTCCATGGTTTAAAGTATGTTAATTTGGATAATTCAAATAAATAATCAATACGATATAACTTGTCTATACAACACATATATTTTTTTTTTATATTATACACCAAAAGTAAAATATCTCATGACTGACTGATGGACTACAGAGAAGGGAGAGACGACCAACTGTTTCAATCAAGGTAAGGTTTAAGTCGAGGAGTGGTGAAAGGTAAAGGTGTCATTCCGACAACCATGTCTAACCAAGCGTGACATCGTGTGGAAGAAACACAGGAGCTTCCAGGAAACTTTGTTTAGAACCCTTTTCAATCCTACCCCTCGGTTTGTCTTCCTAGGAAATGTACCGTATCCTGGATCCGCCAATATTTTATATCAGTTAATGAGTTTAATTCATATGTTTTAAGTTAATTTCATGTTTCACTGTGTTTAGATCAAACGTACGAGGCGCTCTTTGACCAGTAAAACGTGCTGCACAGCATTATACTGACCACCAGATTATAAGAGTGATGCGATCAAGAAAAGTTAATTCTAACCGCCGTCACGTACAATTAACACAAAAAAAAGCAGACATGCGCGACAATCGAACAATATAATTTGGTTCTGCCCACCTGATGCTGGCTTAAGTTAAAGGGACATTCTCAATCAGAGCTTTTATTTATTATTTAACAACAAAAATATCCTACAATAATCTTTCCTAAATAGCATAGGCCTTTTGTTGTTTTATACATTATTGTATACATCGCCCCAGAAAATATAATTTTCATTAAAATTCGTAAGTTGTACTAAGCCATATAATATTCTGTTTTGTACGTTTTGCCAATTCAAGATCAGTTGTCATCTTTTTGTTCGGTGTATATTGAAGTAGACTTGATTAGTCTGCTTTATCACTCCATTATTAAATGAGAGGAAAATTAAAGTCGGTGAAACGCGCTCCGCTATCAGACGATCACGTTTACTTCATTTCTTCTCAATCCGATACGATAATCACACAGTCTCTATCGGCTCATTGACCCATGCTTAGTTAAGGATTTCCAGCCCAGTCACACGCGTGCGCGATTACACCACGACGAGTCATTACGTGCTGGACAGCGAGAATCATAATAATAAAATATTGTAAAAAGCGAAATAGTACCAATGGACTACCTTAAGTGGTAATTAGGATAGGCATCGGTCGAACTATACAGCGGGCCTTAATTGTAATAATTATATATACGTCTTGTACCGACTCTGATCGGTACCGGTACTGATCGTGTCCATACTCTCAATCGAGGTAATTTTTATTCGTGTGCTTAGTCAGTTAATTTCTACTTAACGCAAGTCGAGGTAATAGAAGTAAAGACTCGAGAAAGTCGAGGAATATTGCACGATGACTCGTTAGCAGAGGCGGATCCAGAAATGTCCAAAAAAGGGGGGGGGCGCGAAAGTTGGGCCGATCGAGACAACACTGTTCTAGGGGGTCCGGGGGCATGCCCCACAACATTTTTGTGTTCTAGACGCCCGAAAATAACATTTGAGGCGTTCTGGGCTATCATTTTCCCCTTTTCTTCTTTTTTATTTTAATTTTTTTTACCTCCCAAAACAGGGGTCCGGCCCTAAATCCGCCCCTGGTTCGCATTTGCACGGTTTTTATTCCGCAATTTTAGTTGTTCTCTGGATCAGTTTCAAACACTGGCAGTTCCGTCGCAGTGGCGGAGCTAGCCACCCCCCCCCTCCCCAGTGGGGGAGGCCTCCTCCCACCCCGGTCGGGGGAAAAAAACCATAATTCGTTGGGGAGAAAAAAAAATCCAAAAATTATATGTACATAATGTACATTTTGTACATAGCCTATTAATGGAATCTAAAATCTATTAAAAACCTTTGAAACGACTAAATTGTCTTATTTTCGGGTGGCTACGTTCCCTGGACCACTTTCAAAAGATTTTTAGCGACGCCCGACAACGCCCACTTTTTCTCGTCGGGGACCTTGGACTCCCCGTCGGGGAGAAAAACCACAATTCGTCGGGGAGAAAAAATAAAATCAAAAAATTGTACGTATTTTCTACCGTACATATAATAGACTCTAAAATCGATTAAAAGCCTTTGAAACCCCTAAATTTTCATATTTTCGGGGGGGCTACTTCTCCTGAACCACTTTCGAAAGCCTTTTAGCGACGCCCGACCACGCCCGCATTTTCTCGTCGGGGACATCAGGCCCCCCTCCCCCCCCCCCCCCCGTCGGGAGCCTTGGAACCCCTGTCGGGGAAAATCCTGGCGCCGCCACTGTTCCGTCGTAGTGCTATATCCGCTTCCGACAATGTTTTTAAACATTAAAGACGGTGAAATTGGTATAAATTTCTTATCACGTTGCATCTATCCTCCAGAGGTTCGTTTATTTGTGGGTAATTGGTGTGGCCGCGATCGAAGTACGAAAGGGGTCGGTCGCGGCAGGTGCAGAAGACCTTTTTACGATTCGATTGGTCGTAGGGGAACCGCGGTAACCGACGTACTGTAACTCGAGTACAAGTTCTATCAATAATAAAACGGGCAATGATGTAGTGTACTCATAAGGATGTTTTTCTCTTGTATTACATCGACCTTAGCCGGGATACCGTCACAACTGTGCCGTCAATCATTATTATGACTGATTGCTTAGCAATCAATTCGCTAACAGGTTTAAACGAATTTGAATTTTTTTTAAATATAAAGTAACCGAATAGCCGGGTCAAACGTCGAGTGCGTATGGTAGTTTATGCAAGTTTCCCAGCTTATTCTTAAACGTCTGGCGGACACTTGTTTATAAAAGGAACCACGCTGTTAGCACAATTTTTACCCATGTAAAATATCGTTGGAACCATTTGATTTTGATAATAGGCCTATTAAAGTTCATAGGGTTAAAAACAAAACAAACATTTTTTTTCTTAGCCCACGTAGATTCTTTAATTAATTTATCATAAGTCACAATTAGCGTACTTAATGAAACATGTAAACAAAAATTAGGATAGTCCTAAGCAACGCAATAAACATTTTTCTTCTTTTTAAGTCTAGGGATAT